CAGAGAAAACGCTACGTCAAGTGCAGGAAAGTGAAAAAGAAAGTCCACTTCCAGCTGGTAGTGCCGGCCGCCAAATCACCACTTCCAACCAATACTCATTTCCATTACGACGGCCTGCCATGAAATATTCAATTTCACTCCATGGCCTAACTTTGCTACATTTAGAACGTACTGGAGTTCCAAATGATTCATGAATAAACTTGCATTAAATTCAGACCAATCGATGTCACCAATAGCGGCAATTGATAGGCATGAGCGGACTCCTTACGTTTCAGCCGCTACCATTGTCTGTCCATTTCATACGCGCCAGCAGTTTAAATCCACGATATCACTAGCAACGCCATTTTAAAAATACGCATGCAATTTCGCCTCTATCATGGAGATAGTGGATCCATCCTTCCTGAACAACATACCATTGGGGTATGCCCACTCGGAGTTACTAATAGGGCCGATGATAGGCGTAAAACGAACTCTCTATGTTTCGGCCGCCAGTATCCTTCGTCCATTTCAAACGTGTCAGTATAGTTTCCATCGGTGCAACAACTAGTGGACATCATTCTAAAGCTGTTTAAACGGCATCTGAAATATTCTAGCCCCGGTTAGCTTTTCACGGGCAGCACCGCGGCCTGTTGGGCACATAGCCAGAGCGTGCGTTAAAGCCTATGCAATACCCACACGCCTTCGAGTGTGAAGCACAATGTGCAGGCGGCTAAATACATATACCATGACAGGTATGCTTACCTGAAAAATCAAGTCCAGCGATCATATATGACACGCGGAAAAGCGGTACGCATCCCAGCAAGCATAATAAAGCATAAGGAGAGTTACCATTAGGGCCGGTGACAGGCTTAATACACAGCTCTTTACGTTTCGGCCGCGAGCACGGTCTGTCCATATCAAACGCTGCAGTTTAGTTTTTACCGGTGCGATCACAACCGAAAACCCATTTTGTTTAATAGGGTAATTGAAATATTCCATCATTAGCAGGTCGTGCTCGGGGAGCACCACGACCTACTGGGTACATCGCAATAACATGCGTTAAAGCCGACGCAATATGCAACCGTGTGCGAGACTGAAACAAGCTGTGTATGCGTCTATGTAAAGATACCATGAGACACGTGCTGATGTGAAATTCGCGCATCGTGGTCAGGGCAATAACAACATTCTAGCCTCGGCCGATTATTGCAGGGAGCGCCACGGCTTATAAAACACGAAACGGCAGCGTGTATTTGGGCCGGTGCAGCACCCAACCGCACGCGAGCCGGCGACAATGTGTGTATGCACCTTTATGCATATACCATGAAACGGCATTTCACTGTACGTCACGGTGAGTCCCTGGCCGACGCAGTAGGCCGCTAGTTGACCCAGTCAATGTAAATCGCAGGCGCCAGTCATGTCCCTATTTTTAAAATGGATCCCAGAGGCCAGGCCACGTTAGTGGCATTATGTTCAGGAACCATTTGGAACACCTTGCAGTAGTTTCCAAATGCAGCAAAGCCATTTCACGCAGTTCAATTGGAGATTTCAAAGCAGACGGCCGTCAGGTAAGTTGAGGAGTTTGGCAGCAAAAGTGATAAAAGGTCTGCCGCTGGCACCCGTAACATGCACGGAGGAACGTTTCAGGGAGGGAGGGCGCCCCTAGTCATATTGTTGGCGATTCTTCCCATCAAATTCGATAAGTTTAATGTTCTACATTCTCAGAAGGTGGGGATGCCGATGTACTCGAGCCTTCCTCGGCATAGGAGCCATACGCACATTTCCATAGGATATTCCTCTGCTTCCCCATGTGCAACCATTGTCCTTCATTTGTCAAATAAACGCGCTTCGTGGGAGGTATATGGCTATAGCTGCAAAATAGCAATTGTTCATGCTCGCAGGCGATTAGGTTACTGTGTCGGCCTTAATGTACGCTGTGTATATGTGCCACACAGTTCGTGGTGGTGTGCAGTGGTAAACTGCCGAGGATTACCCATTTTAATTGCTTTTAAACACTTCTAAAAAGGTATCCGCCGATGATTGCACCGATGGAAAATGTACTGACATCTGAAATGATCAGATAATGCTGGCGGCCGCAATGTAAAGAGTCCGCTTATGCCTATGAGCAACTCTGTTGGTAATTCGGAATTGGCTTACTCGAAAAACATCTTGTTCAGGAATGATGACATTTTTTTCCACGAGATGAGGGAAAATATCTGCACATTTTTAAAATGGTGCTGCTAGTGGTCGCATCGATTTAAACTATATTGACACGTTTGAAATGGGTGGATAAGGCTGACGGCCGAAAGGTAAAAAGTGTGATTATGCCCACCATTGACCATATCATTGACTCGAGGTGGGCTCGCCTAAAAAGCATTTTGTTCAGGAATGATTTAAAACATCCTGCAGTCGTTTCGATACGTAGCAAAGCAATATCACACATTGAAATTGGAGAGTTCATAGGAGACGGCCGGAGGGTAAATTGAAGAGTTGGGGTGCGGATGTAATACAAGACCTGGCGTTGGCATCTGAAACATAGACGGACGAACGTCTCAGAAAGCGAGGGAGCTCATAGTCATATTGTAGTCGATTCTTCCCATCCATTGCCGTAACGGTAATACTCTTTATACATTCTCAGAAATTGTCTAATGGTGAGGGTGTCATAACACTCACGGAACCCATGTTTCAAGTCTAGGAGAAACCATTGCCATATAAATCGTGTCAAAATGATGTCCAGCAGTGATTGCACCGATGGAAACTGCTTTGGAATGTTTGTTAGAGACAGATAATGCCGGTAGCTGAAAACGTTGAGCCAGTTCATGCCTGTCTCCGGCCCCATTGGCAACTCAGCGTGGACATAGCTAAATGTGGTTTTTCATGGATCACTCGGACCTTCTTGTAGAAGTTTCTTCAGGAAGCCTGCTGGGAAAGGTGGTTTTCCGCCGTTATCAGGTTCCCTAGTGATAGGAAACGAAGACCATAACTCGTGTCACGTGACGCCATGAGCAGCAGATAAAACGCTGCTAATTTTTTTACTTCATTTTTTTCAAGTGTCATTACCATAATAACGTAAACCACGAGCACGTAGGTACATGCACGTACACTGTAAGTCTCCCCGATCGTTGTGAGCAGCGGGAAAACACAGCCGAAAAACGTGTCCCACTGAAAGTTTCCAACTGATGACTGGTTCATTCGTCCCAGCGACCTCATCAGTAGGATGCAGGACCCGTGTTATTTACGAATACCCCCTTGTTTTTCAATGTTGTCATCGTAAGTAGCTTGCGAATCCTTGTGATATCCTGAGAAGTAAAATAAGTCCAATATTCACATGTGTAATGTGTAAAGCTGAATCGTGAACTAGTTAGCATTTTAGCTCAGTCAGCATTTTTAGCATACACGAGCCAGAGCCGAATCAGATATTTGATTTTCCAGCCTGCATTAGTCGTGAGACAAATGATTCAACACAAGCATTGGGTCTGAACTGAGTCGAATTAAACTTTGGCACTAGACGTGTCCCATACCACGACTGATCGACTGGACGCGCCCGACAACACGGCTGAACAAGTCCGACCCTGGTGCTAGACGTATCCGATACCACGGCTGGTCACGACTGGACGCGTCTGAAAACACGGCTGAACAAGTCCGACCCTGGCGCTAGACGTGTCCCATACCACGGCTGATCACGACTAGACGCGTCTGACAACGCGGCTAGCCACGTCCGACCCTGGCGCTATACCTGTCCCATACCACGGCTGGTCACGACTGGAAAATCTCGGACGGATCTAGATAATTATTTCAACGTGAGGGTCGATGTCGAGTGTTTGCAATGATTTTCATTGTTTTTCAACTGGAATTATAAAAAAAACACATGGAATCGACTTTCATCAAATTCTTACCCAGTCGGTAAAACAGTGTTTTCCTTATCGGCATGGCTTATTTTCACGATTTCAACGTCTGCACACGTCATGCGGCAGCAGTTGTCCCGAAATTTTCATTGACTCAACCGTACCTTGTACCTCAAAACCGGCACCGGCCCGTACTTGTTGTTTAGAAACAATAAGACAAGGACAGAGCATGTTTCCAAAAACTCACACACAATGATAAAACGTCATCAGTCAGAATGATACTTCAGTTCACCAACTTCTAGACGAGATGACAGTGCAGATTAACCGGATCACCGTCCTGAACATGGTGACAGAAGTGATGTAAAAACGAATCTTGCGACAACAATGGAACAGATCACAAATGTGAAATAAAGACGCTCTCTGTTGCACCACGAGTTTCATACCGACAACAAAAAATTACGTCGGAAGGCAACCAAAAACCGCAAAAGAAATATGTGCGCGGCCACACGATCCACGGAGGCGTTGAGTAAGCGAATCGATGGAGGCTACACACAGGTCCGACACAGGTCCACTTCATGAGATGATCATTTCGAGAGACTTTGCCTGGGGCACGCTCCCGTTTCACCTTACTCGTCCCTATCTTTACGTCGCTTCTCAGTATGGGACGAACGTACATGACAGTGACCGCGCCGATACTCGAAACGGCATCCGGCCTGACATGCAGCGGCTCAGACATGCATGGGCGCGGCGCCGGGTGAAACCGGAGCTGGATCCGGGGTCGGAGTCGGCGCTGGATCCGGAGCCAGAGTCGGTGCTGGATCCGGAGCTGGAGTCGGTGCTGGATCCGGAGCCGGAGTCGGTGCTGGATCCCGACCCGGAGCTGAAGCCGTAGCTGGAGCTGGAGCTGGAGCTGTAACTGGAGCTGGAGATGAAGCTGGGCTGGAGCCGGAGCCGGAACCGGAGCGTCATCAGGGCAGTTTAGGCGCGCACCGTCGCGGCGCTGGGTGAGGCTGGAGTTGGAGCCGGAGCTGGAGCCGGAGCTGGGGCCGAAGCCGGAGCCGGGGACGGCGGCGATCCGGGTCTCGGACGCTCCGCCTGCCGGTAGACACACAGCTCTGCCAGAGGTTGCAGGGAGGGAACTCCGGGGCGCCAGGCCACCCACACGGCGTCGACAGAGCGTCACGCCACAGCCGCCCAGCTGAACAAGCCGCGTCAGAGGCCCGACAGGACACGGGGCCCTTCTGGAAAGCAATCGCAACGTAGACAATGTTCAAGGTATTGCAGTCGTGATATCCAGCCATGCGACACCATAAACATGATCTCCGATGTCCGGTGATCTGAAGAACAAATCAGCCCGCTGTGTTGGTGATTGCAGCTTCCTCATTTATCATACAATCACCAAACTGCATTATACTTCCACTGACTAGTTTCGCACTCATTATATGTTGCTATATCTTGGTATCAGGCACTTACATATGACGTCCGTTTCACAACATGATCTAAGTGGCGGTTTCTTGGCAGAAAATGATGATATAATAGGTAAGAGAGTCATAACTGTAATGGCTTTGTAATCCTGGATAAGCTAACTTATGCGCACAAGGCTCAGGCTATTCTTCACGGCGAAGACGGTTACGAAAAACTGAATAAGGATCCGGTCCCTCAGGTAGAGGCTAAAATAAAAAGGTCTCTGAAGAGCACAGTTAGCGGAAAACTTTCGGAAAAAACCATCAAAGATCTAACACACGGTAGTGCGCCTGTGTGCTATGGGCTGCTGAAAGATACTAAACCTGCAGTGCCCCTTACACCCGTGATACCTGCCTCCCCAAGCGTTTGTGGCACAGCAAGCCTTTTCAAGGGCTTCCAATCATTCACAGGTAGGAGGGCTGCCAAAGGGCAGCATTTTCTTCCGTGTAGATGTTGTCAATTTATATGGCAATATACCAGTCAATGAGGCTATCGCTGCCGTGAAAGCTACGGTACACGAACATTTCCATGAAACTGATGCTTCCGGTTATCAAAAGAGTATATCTGCGATCTTTTAGAGCAATATCTTCAGGATTATGTTTTCTCGTTCGGGGATGACTACTATGGACACAAAGTGCGCGTGCGCCCCTCCTCTGGCGATAACATTTTTAGACCGATCTGAAACGAAGGCCCGGGCCGCCAGCCCATTGGAGTCAACTAACCTAGCTTTAAACATCGATGATTACGCTGGAGTATGGACGCACGGACAGCGTGCTCTCGGATAATTTTTAGAGTTCATGAACAATCAGCATCCCAATTTCGCCTTTACGATGGAACATACCGGGGACGGAAAGTAGACACATATTTGGATATATTAGTGTCGGTAGAAAGGAGTAGCAACCGCACAACGTTAGAAACGGAGTTCTTTATCAAGCCCACCAACTCTGGTACAATTCTGCACTGCCAATCTGCGCATCCAACTTCCATTAAGCACAATTCAATTCGAAGCATGTTCCATAGGGCTCTTAACAATGCAAGTAGTGAAAAGAAGGAAACAGCATATACAAAGCATGGACTTTGCTGTTGGCCGAGGAATGTTCTCCACAACTTTTAGGTAGAACGTTGGCAGAGGTCAAAACATCTAGAGCACGTGGGGGGAGGGGGAGGGCGGGACGGGGACGAGGACAAGTCCTGTCGAGCGACAGATTCCTCACATTGCATTACATAGGTGAGCAGTTGCTTTGGAAAATCAAACATACCGTTCGGGAGTCAAAACTGCGCGTACGCATAACTTGGAAGAACGATACGCTTGAAAAGCCTCTGACGAAATATTCTATCTCGGATCCTTAGTTAGTGTCGGTGGACGATAGGTGTCATTTATGCAAGTCCGGGTTTCAATGGGTTTACACGCAAAACACGTGGTTTACGAAAACAAGTGTTAACTGTGTGAAATACATGGGAGGGATATGACAGAGGAGGTCTATGTCAGGAAGTCCATGCACCCTGTTCGTCTGAAATATCATGAACACCTGCGAGATACTAAAAAAAAAAACAGCGAATACGCCTTTCGGCGACCCTTTTTGACAGAACAAACGTAGACTGAAATCCAGGGAGGTATGGGCGCGTCACCCCTTTTAGAGCTCAAAGCCGGCTGCAGAGCACAGGACCATCCACACAGGAATATAAATGAATGTGCTCTTATAAGAAGTCAGCCACCAGACCTTAACGTACAATATCATGGCCGGTTATACGAATGTGATTAGTGCCTCAATGTATAATGTGCGCTACCTGAAAATCGTTTACATGTATGGGCGATGCCTGACGCGTGATGCGCGATGCCTGTTTAATTGAAATAGTTTACATGCATAACTGATGCGAGATGCGCGATGTCAGTTTACTTAAAATTGCTGTCTTGAAAGCGCTTGCTTGTATGAATGATGTGTTATGCGCGATGCCTGTTAAGTTGAATTCGCTTGCGTCTACATGTAATTTTCGCGTATGTCAATTTTTCGATGAGTACTTTATCATAGAAAAGGCTGGCAACTGCTCCCTGTTAAATCACCCCAATCTTGTTGACCTGTATGAACTGTTGCTCGCTGTTGAAAAAAGAAAAATCGAGTACGGTCAGCATGTAATTTTGAATTTACTGCTACTGTTTGTCTCGACAAGGGCATGTAGCTGAAATATCTCATCTATCTCTTCATTCTCCCGTTCATTCTAAGCGGAATAAGGCAATTAATACTGCCTCATCTACATGCATGCTCCTCGCAATTGCACTTAGCAACTTGGGCATCGAGATTATTACAAAAACAAACACTTGTTTTGCAATGGCCACTACATCACTCCAGTCGGCAGCACGTGCCGGCTTCAAAACATGAGGCACGAGGCCCAGAACGTCCCGATGGCGTCCCCGGACGGCCCACGAGCGGCGGCCGGCTCTGACGTCATCCCCAGCAGAAGCCAGCGGCGTCGCCGGGCCGGACGCCCTGGAGCTGCGTTCTCACCTGGCGCGCCGTCAGCAGGCCGACGCCCATGGCCTTGCGCAGCGCGGCGGGCGCGGCCACCCGGCCGGGCGGCGCCCGCCGCACCAGCTCCGCCAGACTGCTCGCCACGTCGTCGGCTGTAACGAAACAACCAGCGCCGGTTGATGCGCGTGCGTGCCGAAAAGGGCGCGCGCTTCGTAAACGTGTCACGGGCGGCGTGCTGCGGAGATCGGAACGGCGTCCAGGTGGGCGCAAAATGAGTCACAACTATTGGCACCGCTTGAAACAACAATCACCCAACAATCAGCTACACGTGCCCGTCATTGGTGTGCGTGCCAGACATATGCAAAAGTCAAGTTGAGCTTCCAGCGTCAAATCTGACCGAGGCACAAATAGCCAGCCTTGGGACAGTTTTGGCGTCTGCCCGTAAACCCTCGGTTAGATGTGTACTGAATGGCATGCAGCCCGAACGGTGGACATTCGGCATTTAACCCGAGAGCAATAGAGACCCCCATTTGCATGGGTCAGTTCAAACCAATCGCCAAAGCCGCTGGGGGAAAATGATATACAATTCAGGGTAAATACAAACCTTCCAGCCCATTGTCACGTGTCATTCCAGCAGGGCCAAGCCATCTGGCATTCGCCATAAGCGCAGTATTTGCTGATTTCGGTTTTGCCTCGGTCATATCTATATCTTCACTCAAAATGTGTCTAGGGGTTCGAGACATCCCAAATTATCCGCGCGTGCGTAACTGTAGCGGCAGATGCCTGATATGATGCACAAATGACGAACCCGTTTTCTTCTGCCGTACATCTCCCACCGGTCTCGCACGGAACCGTGTGTGCTCACCGAGTTGGACCTCGTGCTGGGAGGGCGGCAGCGGTGCCGCCTCGGGCGGCTGGCTCAGCCGCCGCACCTGGACGGCGTTCAGCGAGCTCAGCAACTCGGAGGTCTGGTCTAGGCGGTCCTGCGTGTCGCGGTGGCGCCGCTCCTCTGCCTCTGTCGACCCAGCCGGCGCCCAGGCGGTCAGCGGCGGCGGGCGGCGGCCAGCGGCTCCGCGCAACACCCGTGCTAACCGACCACGCGAGCCGACACGGCCCCTCGAACGGGCGTGGAGACAGACAGGGCCTTCTCTTGAGAAAGGAAGCGACCAATGGTGGTGAGGAGGCCGTGCCGGCTCATGGGCTGGGTGCGAACTAGCTGCAAACAAACGGCAGGAAGGGGGGCTGACCACTGAACCGGGATGCAGAGACCAGTTTTTATCAGCTCTACCTTAATATTGAGCTCGCAGCAGATACCGCGATGGCTAAAAGGTATCACACCAGTGCTTGGCTCCCCTTTCCAAACCCCTCTAGTACAGCTAGTTCACTGGGATCACGACCGGTGCACACTCAGCCCACGATGGCCGTCTGGCGGCCCGCTCTTCCCTGCAGGCCGTCCGACTCACCGAACTGGTCCAGAAAGCCGACGTCGATTCCGAGGTCAGTGAGGGAGCGCAGGGCCGAGAAGTCGACGGCGGGGCGGCCGGCGCTGGCGGCGGCGGCCGGCTGCCCGAAGGCCTGGTCCTGCTCGACCAGACGGCGGCGCTGCTCCGAGCGCCGGTGCTGGCCGTCCGTCAGCGCGTCCAGCAGGCTGTCCACCATCTCCACGGCCACGTCGCAGTCGTCGGCCGCCTGGCGCACGCTGCAGACCGACGCGAAGCAGTGTCGGACGCGCCGGCCGCGACGGAGTACGGTGGCGACGGCGAGCAACGGGCGGGAACCGACGCCGGGACAACAACGCGGCAGCCACACCACATCGGGCCGGTCTGGCTGGTTCGGTGTTCGGCTGAGCACGCAAGACTGAGACACGGCTCCCGCTGCCGCGCATTGCGGCACCAGCTAGGAGATGGGCGCTCACTGGAGACCATCGCGTACAGGCCTAAGGGCCGGAGCATGGCCGGATCTGAGGCGAACATGGAGCGTAGCCGATACGGTGGTGGCGGCTGCAGCTGTCCCACCGAGTCACCTGCGTGCCAGTTCCCCAGTCTGACCGCCCGTCGGTTACCTGTGCGCCAGCTGTCTGGTCTGACCGTCGCCGCACGCCTCGAACAGCAGCTCCGACTCGCTGTAGCTGATCGTGGCGAACGTCGAGTCGTAGTTGGGCGCGAACGAGCTGTACGCACCGTAGTACAACGGCTTCACTGCCGGACGCACAGCAGATTTCCAGTCAGCGTCAGCCGGGCCAAAAAGATCGCGGGGACTGTCGCTGCCCCTAAGAACCACCCACCGCTGGCTGGCAAGCGTGCCAGGAATGGACAGGTGCACCCACATCCTAGGGTAGGGCTTTACGACCTGCGTGAGACCTTTAGACGCAATCAGCAAGAGATACACAGACTATCAGTTTGTCCGAATGGTAGCCGTGCCAGTTTTATTGGAATGGTGTAACAAATGGCCCAGTTCCCCTGCACCTGTGACGACAGAAGTCGTCCCACTGCAACATGCACATGTGACGACAGAAATCGTCACACTTCAACATGCACATGTGACGACAGAAATCGTCACACTGCAACATGCACATGTGACGACAGAAATCGTCACACTTCAACATGCACATGTGACGACAGAAATCGTCACACTGCAACATGCACATGTGACGACAGAAATCGTCACACTTCAACATGCACATGTGACGACAGAAGTCGTCCCACTGCAACATGCACATGTGACGACAGAAATCGTCACACTTCAACATGCACCTGTGACGACAGAAATCGTCACACTGCAACATGCACATGTGACGACAGAAATCGTCACACTGCAACATGCACATGTGACGACAGAAATCGTCACACTGCAACATGCACATGTGACGACAGAAATCGTCACACTGCAACATGCACATGTGACGACAGAAATCGTCACACCGCAACATGCACATGTGACGACAGAAATCGTCACACTGCAACATGCACATGTGACGACAGAAATCGTCACACTGCAACATGCACATGTGACGACAGAAATCGTCACACCGCAACATGCACATGTGACGACAGAAGTCGTCCCACTGCAACATGCACATTCCCAACGCACATTGCTGCGGAGCAAACCCTAGACGGGGCCGGCCAGCGCCAGCACCACAGTTCGCCACCGTTCCAGCGACCGGAGGCCGGGACTGGGGGGGGGGGGGGGCAACTCCTCTGAGCGACGCGGAGCCGACTCACCGGGCTTAGCGACGTTGCGTTTGTCGTCTCTGTAGGGAGGCAGATGGGGCGCACCCTGCGGCAGGCGGCCGGCCAGTGCGCCGACCGTCAGCACACGCTCGGCGCGCTCTCCGCCAACTGGCGTCACGATCGCTAGCGACGTGGTGCCATCTATCCGCTGGCGCAGGAAACCCAGCTGCAAACAGCGACCACCAGGGCGCGTAAGGACGCATTTCAGCCGGCGCAAGACGAAGTTGCAGAATTCATGCAGTTTCTATCGCACTGTCTTGGCATTTGGGCCATCGAAAAAATTGTGACGACACGCCACAGACGCGCCGCAGACGCCGGGTGCCGTCCCGACAAACACACAACGCAAACAGACACACGGACACGGGGCGGGCAAATGCCAAAATATTTCGGACCCTCAGACTCTCGGATTTTGGTCCACCATGCTCAATTCCACAGCGTCTTCACTCAAACTAACGGTCGTACCTTGGCGGATGCGGCGGCTGTGGCGGCGGCGGTGGCTGTGGCGGCGACGGCAGTCCCGGCTGCGGTGGCAGTCCCGGCTGTGGTGGCAGTCCCGGCTGCGGTGGCAGTGCCGGCTGTGGTGGCGATGACCGAGGCGGAAACAGTGGCGGGGGCGGCGGCGGAGGCAGTAACGTTGGCGGTGGCGGCGGTGACGGCGGTGGCGGCGGTGGCGACAGTGACGGCGGGGGCAGCGGCGGCCGAGAGCTGGCACACGGACTCGACGGCGGACGGCGGCGGCCGCGTCTGCCTCTTCTCAGGCGGCTCCGGCGGCTCCGGAACTGTCCTGGCCGCTCTGGTGGCTCGAGCCGGCCCCCTACACGACATCGACCGTCATCATGAGATCCAGCCTGACCGGTGACGAGCTCAGGCTTTACCTGCTGCCTAGCGCGCCATTTAGGAACCCGTCCTCACATGTCGCACATGGCTTGGTCAGGCGAGAGCCTTCCATCACCAGGTGTGGAAGAAGTTGCGGAGCAAACTCAGACTCTGGGTGCACCCAGCATCCCAAACATTCGAAACATCAGAAAACTTGTTCTCGAAAAAGCTACCTGAATAACGTGGATTTGTTGCGGTGAAGCCTACCAAAATGACCAGTCTGCCACCCACGTGGATGCTACGCGGTTGCGGTGGCACCTGGTTGTCTGTCGGAGGCTATCACTTCCGAGCTATGAGCGGCTGATCCAGTCATGGAATATTCCTGAATATCGATGCGATTTATGAGGCCTGACTTAAGGTTGATGATAATTTATACACTTAAGCATAACACGCATCTGTAATGGAATGAGTTCAGGAATGGATTGTGCATGTGCTGGAGTGAATACACATGTGAATCACACTAGTGCATATGCGCATGTGTTAGTGTGAACTGGTGTGCTGTGGCGTTGAGTTGATTTGCAGGAATTACATCTTCCACTGGTTGATGTTCGCATGATACAATTATGATCTATTTTCAGTGCAACACAAGTTTTATAATGAGACACTGCTGCCGATGTACTTCGACGTGATGTGATGATGGGACGAGTAGATGTGAGCTGCATCCACACGTCTTTTAATTGGCGCTCTCCGTGTGGTAGCTCTGATCCCGCTGTGGAGCCACACAGCAGGCCGGGGGCACCTGAAGTTGGCTACACTTTACTGATAGGTGTTTTGATGGATGAAAGGCGCAAACCTTATTATAGCATACAGGGAGGAGGGGGGGGGGGGGGGAGGGACCACGCCTTAAGGCGATTCCACACCTCATGTGCTCGCGCAACTCAGTAACATAGGGTGATAATTAAAGTTGGGAATTCGAATTCTCAGGATATGAATACACTATAATTCGTAAGTTTGAAAACAAGGAATCGAGTCTTGAAAGCAAGGACATTAGGAGTACAGTCACGAAAATCCCAGTTGAATCCTGACAGACGTCATTTAAATATGCTAACAAATGCAGCGAAACCTTTTCGGTGCTCAAATCTACTTCAGATGAACTGGATGGACTGGATATAATACGTATATGCCACATCGGACTGCCTCGCCCGTCCTACGTGTTATTATATTGAACGCCGCGGAAGTGGGGGGGGGGGGGACGCCTTTGAGCGACTAAAAATCTACATAATCGGTTTAAAACTGGAAGCTACACGACGTCAAAGTTCCGATACCATGAGGTAAGATGCTCGACTGTTATAAAAACAATCCGAATCTTTAAGCCCAACCGGAATCTACCCACTTGGAACCCGCTTGCCTTGGGCTATCAAATTGTAGCGAGTCGTCATCTTAACTGGTAACCAAGGACGCCAAATACAGCTACTGATCACCGCCCACAATCTCCTGTAGCTGACCGTTAGGTGCACCAGATCCCAATTTATCCACATCAAATCATCAGTTCACCCTCTCGAAATTAGCGGGATTCCAGCCGGATCTTCCGCTTACGAGCTCAGCATTCTGCCAGTGAGCTGACCGAGGAGACCCCGCCACGAAGCCAGCCAGGAAGCCTCCCCGCCTTCAGAGGCCTTCGCCGCCAGCTCAACAGTAGTCTGCCTAACTATAAATCAGAATAACCCGGTTCGAATGCTGGCAATGCCAGCACAAAAATCTGGGCGCGTACATAATCGCAAACGAGACACCATACATTCAGTCCCAAGACTCAGCAGAATTTGAAGAAGCCCGATAATTAACTGGCCAAAACGTTGGACGATGGTCCCAAGACTGAACTCATCCGCAATGCTAGAATTCGCGTTCACTCGGTTAAGTGGCCGCCTGGATCCAGCTCCCCACTGCAAAACGCCATCTAGAAGTATTAACCTGCGACGTCATAGAAAAGTGCGTCACAACAGGTCCTACGCCTTGGATTGCAATCGTACAGTGTATCGTCAGTGTAATCGTACAGTGTATCGTCAGTGTAATCGTACAGTGACGTCAGTGTATGGTGTAGCCACTTGTGAACCCATAGCCCATAGGTGTCGTCGTAGCCCACAGGTGCCGTCGTAGCCCACATGTCCCGTCGTCGCCCACAGGTCGCGACCTCAGGCAGGTACTTTGCCAATGAAAAGTTGTCCCCCAAGTTTCGCCCAAAACTCAACGACTTCGTCTCTGGATGGCCTTGCACGCCAACCGGTCAAAGCACCCGCAGCGCTGCTACCAACCCGAATCGCCAATCGGAGGACCCTGCGCCCACAGTCTTCAGGCACGATTGTATCCGTATACCATAATAGGAGCTGCCGTTTGTGAGGTGTGCGAGACCCACCCTGGCGTGACCTCGACCTTCAATGACCCCTACATCACCGCTGACAAATCTCAGACAAACTGGTTCATAACGTGACGTTTTGGGAGAGAGGAGTGGGTCTACTTCCAGGTCTGATGAGATGTAAACTTCAACTGAAATTCCCTTACACACCCGCAGCACAGCGATACTGTTCCTGATGCACCTTCAGCGCAACTGGATAAGACGCAGTACACGCGGGGCGTCGCAGGCGCCGTTTCTTCCCAATTTTCGCAGCGTGGATTCATGCGGACGAGGTCCTGGGTGCCTGACATGGCTAAAGCCTTCAACTTCCAGGTCACACGTAAAAGGTTGGAAGCTCGGATACCCAACATAGCAATCTAATGTTCCTAATAGTTTCTAACAGAGACCAGACAGCACAGCATCTGTGGGAACTGAACGGGTGTCTCCTCCCGCGCTAGCGAAGGTCGAAAGCAATGTACAGAGCGCAAGAAGCTTTCGTGTAAACACTCATGCCTATGGCAAGCCGATATATATATATATATATATATATACATATATATATATATATCTACATATATATATATACATATATATATATACATATATATATATATATATATATATATATATATATATATATATGTACATATAAACACTACAATGTCCAGCGACGTGTTTCGCTATCATACCTTCGGAATGATCTCAAGCCAGCTCCAGCATCTATCTTTTCTAAAACAAGGTGCGGCTGTTTCATTGCCAAAGCGCTGAAATAGACAAGAAGCGCCCATCTCACACGACAGCCAAAATCAAACCAAGCAAAGGGAAGGAGCGCTCCACCACACCAGGCCTATCAACATGCAGTAGGAGGTCAACGCGCCACGAATACAGGGCGACCAAGGGAGAAACACGGGCAGCAATGGCATCAGTAAATGCATAGCGTAATATGCAGCTCGCAGTGGAAGCATAATTACACTAATCACAGGAGAAGCAAACAAAGATGTCCGCCTGTCGTCGGGAGACACGCGGACAATGTAATCCCCACAGCCCGCATAGCATAACCTGTTTCGTGGGTTGAGCTCTGACTGGGTCTGGCTGGTGATGGTTGCGGTAGCGGCGTGGGACAGGCGCTGCACATTCACTGCCGAACCCAACCGGCCGCCTGCCCGCCGAACTGACCTGGCGACGCTGTCGGACGGATCGAAAGTGTCCATCGGCTCCGGCTCCGGCTCCGGCTCCGGCTCCGGCACCTGCTCCGGCTCCGGCTCCGGTCTCGGGCGCCGCTCCGGCTGCCGCCGCCGCAGCTCCACCTGCGTCATCGTCGGCTCATCCACCGGCGCGCCCGACGGCTCATCGGCCCCCCGCATGGGATCAAGCTCAGCCTGCTTCGGCCCCGAAGGCCGCTGCAACGGCTCAGGCTTTTCCTGCTGCACCTGTTCGGGCTTTGCTTGCTGCGCTGGCTGGGCCGACTGAGGCTCGGGCCGCTGGGTCGGCTCCGGCTTGCAGTACTGCTCCCGTGCAGAGCCGGCCCGCGTGGTGCGCGTCCCCCGCACAGGCCCCGAGGAGCGACGCTCGTCGGCCGCCAGCCTCGGGCCCGGTTCGGCCGGCTCTGGCTCGGGCCGCTGCGCCGGCGCCGCGGGCTCGGCTGCTATCGGTCGCGCCTGGCGAACCCCGTCCGCCCGCCGCTGCTGGGCAGTGTCCGCCCGCCGTGGCTGGGCAGTGTCTGCCTGCTGGTGCTGGGCAGTGTCCGCCCGCTGCTTCTGGGCAGTGTCCGCCCGCCGCTGCTGGACCGTGTCCACCTGCTCCTGCTCCTGCCGCGGCGTGTCTGGCTGCAGCGGCTGCCGCTGTTGCTGCTCTTGCGAAGTGTCCGGCTGCTGCTGCTGCTGCTGCTGCTGGAGAGTGTCCGGCTGCAGCTGGGTGTCCGGCTGCAGTTGGTGCTGCTGGTGCTGCTGGTCGCGGTCCAGCAGGTCTGCTTCCACGCCCAGCACGTCAGGAGGTAGATCAGCCATGTAGGGCAGCATGGAGCGCAGCGCGATCACCTTGTCCGAGCTCATCATCTGCCAAGGGCCCAGATAGCGAGGCGTGGCATGACGTCGCTCGGCCGAACAGACGCCAGGGTACAGGCGGGGGGGGGGGGGGGGGGCAGAGTCAGAAGGGCCCACGCCCGTCCCAGCAGCGCAGAAGCCAGCCAATGGCACGAGCGTCTCGCAAATACGCAGATTACGACAAAAGACGAAAGGGTAGCTGGTTGACTTGATGCAGTCCAAAAAACAGCGATTTTGGTCCACAAATATCCACAAATATGTATCATCCACATGTATCCACAAATAAGAGGCAATCAGAAAGTCACAAACACACAGTGTACGTAGAAATACATCACTACGTTCAACTGAACTTGCTCGCATGCGGTCTCCCTGTAAGTGCATTTTTTTAGAGAGAGCGACCATTTTTCCAAGGGCACCAGACCAGCACCACAGCGTTTAAACCCAGTTGCTTAGGCGAGGACACCGACCTTGGAGCCGATGTGCAGCAGTCGCTTGGCGGTGCGGTAGTAGATGGTGTCCATGCGGTTGTAGGTCATGGCGTTACAGCACATCAAACGAAAGTCCTCCTGCCGAGCACACCACAAAACATTAGCTTTAACGCCGACACTGTGGAGGAACACGCGCAGGGGCCTAACCAACCACACACACGCACCCCCCCCCATATATATATATATATATATATATATATATATATATATATATATATGCACTATCAGTAGCATGTTTTTTGCGTCAGGCCACGGTGATCTGATCCCAGCAGTGAGTGTTATGGCCACGTCGATGAAAACAAAACTCACGCAAAGGTAGGCAGTCACCCCTTGAAGTAATGAAAAAAGGTTCGGTACTGGATTCGAACATGACTCTCTCATGAGTTTGGCTAGCACAGTCCAAAACCGTCCGTGATTTGTGGGTTGTACATACGCCTACACCACGCAACAGGCTTCATGGCTTTATCTGCTGATTGTCAACATCTGACGAGAATCCCTAAACACGACAAAAACTCAGGCGCAGCCTGGGTCTGTGGCCGGCAGCGCGCACTGGTCCGCACACATCGGCCCGTAGTCGAGCCAGCACGAATTATCATTTTCTGGTCAGTTCTAGTCAACCTGGTGTCGCTGTGACGTCAGGCAAGCGAGATACGGACCTGTTCCTAGTCCGTGTAAGATCCAGCCCTGTTCCTAGTCCGTGTTAGATGCGGACCTGCTCCTAGTCCGTGTTAAATATGGACCTGTTCCTAGTCCGTGTTAGACCCGGGCCCGCTCCTAGTCCGTGTTAGATGTGGACCTGCTCCTAGTCCGTTTTAAATATGGACCTGTTCCTAGTCCCTGTTAGACCCGGGCTCGCTCCTAGTCCGTGTTAGATGCGGACCTGCTCCTAGTCCGTTTTAAATATGGGCCTGTTCCTAGTCCGTGTTACGTCCGGGTATGCTCCTAGTCCGTGTTAAATCTGGACCTGCTTCCAGTCCGTGTTAGATCCGGGTCCGCTGATAATCCGTGTCAAATCTGGACCTGCTCCTAGTCCGTGTGAGATCCGGGCCCGCTCCTAGTCCGAATTCTTCAGTCCTTTCAAAGTTTGGAAGTGTTTTCTTTCCATGTCAATGGAAGGGAAAGGTGAAATCGAGGTGATAGTTGAATGTTGCAGGGAAAATCGTCCTGATCAGACATCATGCATGCAAACGGTCAACGATCTGCGCATCATCACTTTCAATAAAAAATTACGCAGCCCATTAACTGCAAGCTGTGAATGACCAGTGGCTGCAAAAAGTAGCTCCCAGCAAACGCGACGGCTGGGCCGGCCCACTCCAGTTACAAAGTGTACCATAACCATTCCCTCTGCAATCCAAAAACATCCCCTGCCCTCTTCGTGCGCAATATATCGACAACCAAGATTTTCATGAACAAGCTGCGAGAAATCTACAGCAAGCCACTTAACATTTTCTTCAACAAGCAGCAACATTGCTTAAACGCTGTACTTAAGTCTTTTCCAGGCGTTTCCATGCCGGCTTTTCCGTCAAGCTTCGTCTTCGTCCAATATTCCAGTATGGCACAAATTTATATTTAAAGAAGAAACAACGCACGTCGCTGTGAACCCTTTAGTGCTCGGCAACTCTAGGTTGATAAGTGTTCGGATGAATATATCGTGAATATCCGATTCGTGTTTATAAATACCGTACCAATGGCACCAAAACGTCGCCAATCAATCTAACGTCCCATCAAGGTCTTTCTGTCATATTGTAAAATGACATTTGATGCGTAGAGACCGGTTCATCTCACTTGATGTACCAACACCGACCATTGGACTAGCGAACGGTCGCCACTGTCCCGGCCTGAGCTGCGCCCGAGAGGGCAGCGGACTGACCTTGAAAGCGGCCAGGCCGGCGTAGTGCCCGGCCTCCACATTGGCGGCGATGGTGCTGAAGTCCATGGGCGTGTCGATGATACTCGAGTAGCCTGGCGCTACGTCATCAGTAACCGGCACACTGAAGAAGCCCCGCGTGTCCTTCTCGCGCAGGCCGCGCAGCAGGTGTTCGAGGAAGCGGCGCAGCGGCGGCCGCCCGGCGCCCTCTTCCTCCTGCTCCTGCTCCTGCTGCACCGGCGGCGGCGGCGCCTCCTCGTCAGCGTCCATGGCCAGCGGGGGAGCCGGGCCGGCCGGCTCCGGAGACGAGGCGGTGCCCTGGCTGGGCGCCTCGGTGCCCGAGCTCTGGTCCTCCATGCCGGCCGGCGACAGCTCCTCCTGCGGCCGCCGCTCCGCCTGGTGGCAACCAAAGGGAGGTAGCCTCGCGCCCCACAGGTGGAGTCACGCGCGCGCGTACCTGGCGGACTAGAATGACTGCGCCTCATGGACATCTCGAATTATGGACATTAGTCCCTAGGTCCCTACGCGCCGACTGGCAAGAAATAACAAACAAACAAAAGGTATATCAGCCCACCTACTTAAGGCGACTTCCAAGGCCCCTGGGTGGTCACGCACACGGCAATTACGTAACCGAGGGCAGGAGAGGGGGGGGGGGGGCATGATGATCAGTGTGATGTCTTCAGCTGTTTATACCGTTATCAAATAGCCTGCGAACTAAACAACACTGCTGCATGCCCCTTACATCAAAGTCAAACCCATGGACAACGCAACAAACAAAAAAGTACAGAGCAATTGGAAAACGTCAGATGAACATGCCATTGTTCGGACTATTCAACACCTCCACACTACATCGAAGCAGAGGTAGGAGCACACACACCTTCTTGTGTTTGTGCTTTTCTTTCTCCTTCTTTTTCTTCTTTTTATGGCGGCGCTCCTTATGGTGCGTCTCGGCCTCGCTAATGGCCGCCATGCTGAGCCGGAGCGGCGCCACGGACGGTGGCGGTGTCTGAACGCGCGGGTCGCCGCCCTCGGGCACCGGCGAGCTGCCCACCTTCAGCACCAGCTTCAGGCTTGGTGGCCGAGACACGGGCACCTCTGTCGCACACACCGTCCCGGTCACTCAGCCGCGGAACAAAAGCCTTTGTCGCACGCACCGTTCCGGCAAGCCCATGACCCGGGCACCTCTGTCACACACACAGTCACGGCCATACAGTCACGACACGAGCAACTGTCGCACACACAGTCACAATCATACAGCCACCAGACGGGCCCCTCTGTCGCACACACAGTCACGATACGGTCATACAGTCGCGACACGGGCCCCTCTGTCGCACACACAGTCACGGTACGGTCATACTGTCGCGACATGGGCACCTCTGTCACACACACAGTCACGGTCATACAGCCACGACACAACAATTCTGTCGCACACACCATTCTGAAGCGAGGCTGCGACATGGGCAGCTCTGTTGTACGCACAGTCCCGGCCACACAGATGGGACACAGAACCACTGTTGCCCACACAGTTCCAGTCACAAGGCTGCGGCAATGCAGTGTAAAATCATGCATATATGCATTTTTATGGTGTTGTACACCCTAGATGTGGGCAATCATATATTAGATGTGATAAAAGCATTGACAATGAGGCTACTTTAAGATGTAACTTAAACAACATTGCAAGGTTTCCTTGCCTTATAAGAATAGCAAGGAAACCTCACCAAATAAAGGTACATTTGGTTTCACTTAGTTCTCTTCTGCTGCTTGTAATGGAGAGGCTGTGACATACTAGGCTGGAAGTGGAGACAAAGACTGATTTCCACTGTTCCTCTTATGTCCATTGTCCTCCTCCTACTAATCTAAACATTCCTGTGGCTTCTCCATCCTCCTCTACGTTCCTCAAAGCTCACCTCAAACCTTCTCCAGCCTCCTTCAAAATGAAAGCTGGTTTTCCAGAAAAGTTTGGGTGAGACTTCAATAGACATCAGTAACATGGTTTACTCACATGCTATGCTGGTTCTATTTGTTACCACAAAACAAAAATGGTGGACATGTGTCTAGGCTGGTGGAGGTAGATTAATTCCTAAGTTATTTTTACAGACATGTGCATACATCTGAATGCCCACATACACAGTGTCACGTCTAAAGATGCGTAGATGTGTATTTTGTCTAGACGCGTTCTAATAAGCTTAGCAAAAAACTATTTTACATAATCATCCTCTTTAAAGCAGAATATACAATGAGTGATATAATGGATTCACTTACACCTCTACCATCAAGCTTTACAAATTACAATAGCAACAGTCAAAATGCTCCAGAGATGCAGCACACCTGATATAGATGTCATTACAACAGTACAATTCAACCCACAATTCCCCCTAAAAATGTCCTAACTAGGCATATTATATGCTTCTAAGTAATCTAGGTATCATCTCAAATAACCAGAGCTGGAGTCACAATATTTATCCAGTGGAAAAAAAAATAACACTCCTAACCAGAAGCCCAATTTTAGCCTTCAATCTTACCTTCATAACGTTCCCGCTTATCAGGCTTATGCTCTTTGTGCTTCTTCTCCTTTCCCATTCCGAGCCACTGACCTGGTACATGGACACTGGGTTATCATGAGTGGCTCATTAAGTAACCAGAAGCCAGTTTGCATATACAATTGGCCTAACTTACGTCCATTCATTGCTTAGTTCATTAAGATACGAAATCCCAAACCGTTAATTCAACCCGTTTCATAGCATCAATTCAACCTTAGCCCGGAATATTCAAGGCACATCGCGAAACGCCGGCGTAGGCCTCGCATCTCTTCAAACGGCCTGAATAAACTCAAGGTAGTGCGAAAACCGTACAACACTGCCATAAGTAAATACACCAGGCGTTTACGAAACCTTCAGCACCTTTATTCAATTCGATGTTTGATAAAATGTTCGAAAATAGCGTTTCCCCATAGACTTGTCGCACTAACTCCGCTCGCGTATGCGTATTTATTTCGGTATATAAAAACACCACTGGTGGATAAAATCTACGGCAACGCTACCAGTTATGAGAGATTTCCCTCACTTGCGCCCTTTCTTTCGCTGGGCTATGCAGAAAACCTTTAGTATTTGGTAGCTTTGCAGTGTATTTTTTCCACAAAGGGCGTTTTTTTTTCAACTGGAATAAACACGCGTTCCGTTTTCACCACTTCTAATCGCTCTGTGGTTGTGTACATGAATGGGGTGCCGGACGGTGAGCCCGACGAATATATGGTAATGGATTATTATATTTGGTGGTTGGAATGTTACACTGGTACGAGGATATTCTTTGTTTGAAAGCCTGAAGGTTAAGGAAACAGTTGCCTTGCAAGTGGGAGCGTGGTACATCATCCAGAATTTGCGAGATGAGGATTCAGGGCATTTTGACTTGTTTCTATGCGCTTTCATAAACCCGGTGCTGTTTTTTTTTTAAAACTACTGGAGGGTTAGTATGCTTCAGTAAATTGATGCATTCTTCAGCCAACATGGGCTCCAGTCACAGTGACTGATAAGGGGATAGTTTGAGAGCTAACCAATCTGTAAAAATATTATCTGTGTTGCCTCCATGCCATCTGTTCACTGAAGTAGGTGCAGGTGTGAGACAAGCTGAGAGCTGAGAATGCTGGGAGTGGGGCAAATGGAGGGAGTACTTAATGTATTTTGCATGAAAAAAATGTTTCAGGGTGTTTATGCAGCTTTGGATTACCCTTGCAACACCACAATTTTCTGATACAGTGGCTCTCTGCATGCTGAAGTAAGTGGGGGTCATGGAGCTTGCAGATGGCAAAAGTTTATGGGTTGCATGGCCTGAAGTCATTGCAGCAGTTTTGTGGCCTTGCCATGCTGCACAATATGCATCATTTGCAGTTAGGGGCCTGGCCAGCCAGCCTACTCCCAAATGTGTGTTTTTTAATGTATTTGTGTACTGTTGATGGAAAGCAACTTTAGAAATATGGTATTTATAAAATAAGCCATTGGCAGGAGCACATTTTTCAGGCTACCAAAAGTACACCTTTTGTTATCCTATTATGATATGCTTGTTTGTTGTGCTGGCCTATGTCACTACCAGTGTAACATTGACATGCCAGCAGCAACTTAATCACATGCAGGGAAAAAATATGAGAGCCAGGCTTAAAAGCAGAGTCACTAACAATTTCAGGGCATATATGGCTGATCTTTTGAGAGATCATGATGTTGCAAAGGCAATCTAATGCAAAAATGCTGCTTTCAATATTGTAACCAAGTATAATTTGAAAATTCAGAACAATTTGGCCTTGCCTAAGCATGGCACTCAGGTACTTGAGGTTCAGTACATCTGCTCTACACAGATATATTTTTGCAGACTGGTGCAGCAGTCACGCCTATAAATAGGAGGTGGTGAGATAACATAGATCATGCTTGTCAACTTCTTAAAATGATTAGGGGGCCAGATTGGTGGAAGTTGTGAGAAGGGAAGAAATTGAAAAGCTGCTCAGTTTATGTGCCTGATGTTTTGATTATCTACACACACACATGCACACACACACACACACACACACATATATATATATATATATATATATATATATATATATATATATATATATATATATATATATATACATATTTGCAGCTCTCTCATGCATGCTGAAAAATTAAATTGGTGCATAATTTACCATTACATGCTGGCATAATTTGTTGTGTATTTATTCATTCACAAGGATAGAGTGTCCTGTGTCCACATCATAAGTGGCTACCACAGTCCATGTGTATTTATGTTCTCATCAGAGCAAAATGTCTTCAATAAAACACATGCATTGTAGGGGATTTTGATGTTAATGAATTGATGATAATAATTTTTAAAGTCAATTCCACTTATAATTGGAGAACCTGGTCTTCACCCCCTCCCAACATATGCTTAGGCAGGTGCCTTCCCATTGGTAATACCTTTCCCCTGCTCTTTTCAATAACCACAACTTGCAAGTCAGTTTTATGTCTGGGGGGACACTGTTCCAAGTTGTGGTGCTGTTAAAGGGAAAGTGATCCTCACTCATTTCTTGCCCCTGCTTAGGAAATGGGCCCACAGAGCTTAGACCAATATGGAGCCAACTGTTTGGTGTTGGTGATCTGTGGTCGAAATAGATAAATGCTATGTTTCCAGGGTCCTCAACCAATACATGAGACCCTTTAACTGACATTTGAGCTCACAGCCTGGGGGGGGGGTGTTCTTTATGTGACCTAGAATCATCCCTTAAAGCTCTTTAGCCTGCCAAGTGGGCCCTTAATCTTTGGTCTTGAGGCCCTTTGCCCCTCTTTTCGGACCTCCTCAAACAAAGCCCGTGATCGACGGGGGGCCACTAGCCGACACACGACCCCCATATTGGGTACTGTGGGCCCCTGATAGCACAGGGGCCCAATGATTGTTCCAGTGACCCGGACCAATGCAGGTCGTGGCTCCTGGCCTTGCTCCTGCTCGGGAAATGAGCCCCAGGGTTCAGACTGACAGGGAACCAACCGTTCGGTGCTCGTGGTCTCTGGCCGACCGAGACAACTGCATTGTCTCAGGGGTCCTCAAACGCTGCAAGAAAACCTCTGACTGATAGGTCGCAACCCAATGGGGCGTGATTCTTTGCGCGACCTACTGCCAGTCCTTTGGGCCCCTGTGCCTTCCAACCGAGTGCTTGATCATCGGTCTCGCTTGGCCGTCCGGGCTCCTCTTCTGGCCTCATCGAATACTGCCCCTTGGTCGGCTTGGGGCCCCTTGCGACTACAGAACCCTCTGCTAGGCACTGTGGGCCCCTGACCACTGTGGACCCCTGATACAGGGGCCCCGACCAGTGTGAATTGTGGGCCCGGGCTTTGTAGTTGATGGGAAGTGGACCTCCAGCTCCATACCGACACGGAGCCGGCTGTGCGGTACTGGTGGTGCCTGACCGACATGAGGTTCATATCGACTCAGGAGATCCCCGATCAGCGCAAGGGGCCGTCTGACTGTCATTTGGGGGCCCGTCCCCGCAAGTTGGCGCCCCTGAATAAGACGACCATCCCTCCTTGCTCTTAAGCCCTCCAATCGGGCCCTTGATCTTTGTCCGCGGTGGGCCCTACAGCCTCATCGGGCCTCCTAGAACTCTGCCTAGGGTCGGCTCGCACCCCTTGCCATCACAGGGTCCCCTTTAAGGTGCTGTGGAGCACTGCAGACTCTGGGGCCCCAACCAATGTAAATCGCTGGCTCCTGTTCTGTCCCTGCCTGTGGATGAGCCCCCAGGCCCATGCGGACGCGGAGCCGACCATGCTTATTGGTTGTGTCTGACCGACATATGGAAGCTTACCGACCCAGGGGCCCTGAGCAGCCCGCAGTACCCTCCGGATGGCATTGAAGTGCCCGGCGGGCCGGGACCCCTGACTACAACCTCCGGCCGGGTTTCTGGGTCCTTCGGGTCCACAAATCGGTCCCGTAACTTAAGGTCGCGAGGAGCCCTTCGGGCCCCTCGGTATCTAAGCGGGGGACGTGCCCCTGTGCCCCCTGCTTGCGCCGTCATGTGTGAGCCCTGACCCCTACCATCCAATTGCGCAATTCCAGGTTAACAGTAGAATTTGGTGGTGAAAGTTTGACGTGCTGCCGTGCTTGGGAATTATTGATTGCCAACATTTAGTCACGGATCTATTTATGTCATGCATTTGGTAATGGGAGGGGGGGGGGGGGGGCACGTGCCCCGTGGGTACTGTGCGTGCACGCCTCTGGCAATTTGAGTTTTCACCTTTCCCTGAGAAATGCGTAATGTCAGTGATGATGTAGGCACGTAATAATTTATGCACCTCCCTGCCCGGTATTAAATGAGGTGCTCTACATTTGTACCGGGTTTTGAACTAAAATAGCCATCTTGAGAACCATTCGGTGCAGCTCACAACTCTGCCCTTCTCTGACCTACACCTCTCTAGTATCTGAACTACACTGTAAAGCAAAAAAAGGTACTGGTTTTCCTGCATGCTCGTGTGCTTTTCCGCGGCTTGTCAGACAAACAGTTCCATTTCCGATCTGGTTTGAAAGCTTATGTGACTGTGAAGGTTCCAAGTCTGCGATCAAATGGGTACGTAGGCCAAGGTCCATGGACTGTTGAAAATATAATAGGGCTTTCACTGGATTGTTCATCCAGGTCAATTGTGATCACAGCAAATGGCATGTTTCAAGCCATCTTATTTTGAGGCAATGACATGCGTGATGTCATTCATTTGCTGTTTGGTATGGCATTACCACCGTGGTGCAATGATCAGACAGTGGCTGAGAATTAAGAAACCCTTGCCCTCCCCCCTTAAATGCCCCAGATGTTATGTTGCTGAAGTTTTGTACTACTTTAAAATGATTGACAAAACTAATTTTTAGGGAACCTACTAAGGACGCAAAATGTCGTTCCTTTGTTGCAGAGATGGCGGTTAACTTCAAGAAGTGCTCCGTTCAGCTGGTGCTACATCTCATCATCGGGATAGCATTGGTGTTGGTGCACATCTTCCAGTCATGCGTGCTGAATTACTACATCATCTCGCCTAAGAAGGACTCGCTGATCGCCTACTTTTGGTTCGCGGCCGACTTCGTCATTCTGTTTCTGTTTATCGGCTCTCTGGCGATCGCGCACCGGTACCTGCGCTTCAAGCACCGTGACCGTCAAGGCGAGTTCCCGTACTCGCCGAAGCGCCTAATCCGGCGGTATCCGCGATCCAAGCTGGGCATCCTGCCTCTTAGCTACGCGTCGTGGGTCGTCTACTCGACGGTGGTGGTGGCCAAGGTGGTGGTGATCTTTACGTCAGAGATCCCGAACACACTGCAGCCGACGGATCGCTGGGGCCCACAGCTGCTCAAGATCGCGATCGCCTCGTCTGGCGCTGTGTTCATGCTGCTGGTGGAGGGCCACCACGACGCCGAGCCAAACTCGGCGCGCAACACCTACATCCGCCTGCTCTGCGGCTCGACCGCGTACGAGATCATG